GGATGAATATAAAAATTTGAAATAAAATCAAAAATTTGTAATGTTTACAAATTTTTATAAGCTAGTGCAAGATTTTGTATCACCGATGCAAATTGGTGTATCACAGTGCCCGGATACAGAAAACTGTAACAAATTTGATACAGAAATTTGTAATTTTTCTTAGAGTGCAGGTGTTGGCCTCCCGACCCGATACTGACAACACTGATGCGCTGCTGGCCGGACCCACAGAGCTGGTCATAAGCGACGCCATGTAGGAGCCACTCAGAGCCGCGCCGCCCGGTAGCGCCAGCCGAGGCGCCGGCAGCACCGCGGCTCGCGCGTGGGACGTGCTGTGCGCCGAGCGCGTGTCAAATGTGTAACAGCACTACTTGTATCACGTTTTCAGAGTAGCCCACTTCGAAATCACATTGGCTGTCCTAGTGCGTGGTCGCAACAAGTTCTTTTTCGCAGGGGAGCACTATATTATTATTTCACACACACACACACACACAAACAGACTCACGCCCCTACAACACTACTTACACTACTTCCTATAATCCTGAAATAACACACCGCGTTGTTCAGGGTTGTGCAGTTAACTTGTCCCTGACGTCGCGCGGCGCCCAATGAGGATGGCTATCTGGTGCATGCCGGCCGGGGAACGTCGTTAAGGGGGCAGCAAATAATTGGGGCGTGGCGGCGCGTAGCTCCTGTTACCCGTGCGATACGCACGCCCGATTACGCGCGCGCACGCACGCACGCACGCACGCACGCACGCACCCACAGCGCTAAAAGTATAACGGCTCTGCTTTATACCTCTGCTGGCGCGGCGACGGCGGCGCGCGGCTTGGGCTTTGGAGTTAGTTAGCGGGGCAGATAAAACATTATAAGTTATAAGATAGTGCTGACGAAACTACTCCCAAAGATAAATATATAGTTTTGACGCGGGAGAGCTTGTTCATCGCGTGTGGAAATTTGATAAGGAGGAAAGTTTTATATTATGAAAGAATGAAACGGTATATGATTAAATTTGACGTCTACGCTGTAGAGACAAATGGGCGTAAATGGGATAGGACTTTTAAGATACATTAACGTTTCAATGCTCCTTTTAATGCCCTTAGAAAGGCATCTCAAATGGCACAACAATGGCATGCCATTAGTTATAACATTTCGCACTTTTCGAGTCTGTTCATACCCCTACAAAAGCTGCGCGGTCGAAGACTTCAAATTCAAAACTTTCGTACAACCCGAGAAAATTGAACGCTGTGCGTTTGTTTTCCTAGCGTAACAAACATTAAACATGCTGAGTACCAGAGATGCTAGGAAACGATTGTCCTCCACAGCTCACAAAAATAAACGTCCAAAGTGACAGAGCCGCGGCTTTGTTTTTGCAGCAGCCAGCAGCTTCATGAATGCTGGATGGATCTCTGCGGCGGTGATCGTATCGGGTCTGCAGAATGATTCCGCACACGACGCGCGCCGCACATGTGTGTCCAACGGCACCTTGCCAAATTGAGTAACCTTGGCGGCGGCACAATAGTGGTGCATGCTGTCGGGAGGATCGCCGTCTGCCGATAGCCGGTCCGCCTCGTATCGGCCCCGCGGTACGTACCACGGGACGGGCCCGGCAGCGGTACTACTTGTGCCAAAGCCAGGCAGGAAGGCCTCCAATTAGGTCGTGTTTACAGAGTTGAGTGCGTTCGCCGGGTGCATTACCTCTCACTGCCGCCGCCGCCAGCAAAAGGCACTGCAAAGAAAACGACAAAAACGAAAACAGCCGAGAGGAATTCCCCCGAGCTTCATCAGCGGCTACGAGCATGAGCGCCGCTGCCGCGCACAGCAGGACCACGCGCCGCACCGTGCTCCAAAACACGCGTATATACGACGGGTTTTCATTATTTTTATCTGTATCATTCCTTGTATTCTGTTTCGCCTCGGTTTGATGGAAACCAACGCCGATGTCGAGCAGCCTAGGCTGTTCCCGTGTACTTCGTTTTTTTTTCCCCTGGCTGTGTGTGCGTGTGTATCGCGATGCGTCTGCGCCGGATTCGGCCTTCGCGGCCCTAAGCCTTAAGCGCGGCCTAGACAGCGAACACAGTGAGGTGCATTGAGCATCCGCCCTCTTCCCTTTCCCCACCCGTCGCCACCCGGTCAGCCTTTCCCCTCCTCGCCCTTCTGCGCTCTACATCGCCGAATGACGGATTAATCATGTTCCCAAACTGCGGTGAAAAAGATTCAAAACTTATTGGAGGAGCTCACTAGTGTAGTGACATTTTTTTTAAAACAAAAAAAAATCAATCGAAGATGGGACAGAAGAGAGAGTGAGACAGACAGATACGAGGGGAGGGGAGAGAGCGAGAGGTTTGCTTTATAAAATACATGCGGCCGGATATGAATCCATTACGCTATCCATACCCGAGGCATTAGAGCCTCCTGGCCCGGCCGGGATGAGGAGGTGCGACTTCTTAAGGTTAAGCCGCCGGCTCTGGTGGTGGAGAAAGGCAGCTGACGCGCGCGCACACGCACACACAGACACACACACACACGAGCACATATCTGGAGGGCAATGACAATAGCTCATAGTGCATACGTATGTGTGTCGGGTCGTAAAATGTTGGTTAGCTTTTAACTTTATTGCGCTTATTACGGTGTGTGTCTGTGTGAGAGTGCGTCCCCCCCGTCTCCAGTTTGCTACTCCAACCCTCTCTGGGGCCCTCCGGGGCCCCGCGGGGCTCTCTTCTTGTCCCGCATGAAAGCTCGGTGCGACCCGCATAGGTATGAGCGGCGTGGCGCGGCGCGGCGTGCGGCCCAGCGTGGTGCGTCGTGGCGTCCTCTTGGCGCCTTGGTCGGCCTCCTAACGGGCGCGACCCCTTGCGAGCGGGACAGCGCTCGGGTTGCGCGCCAAATACAAAAGAGGCGAATACTGTTCCAATCCTGACTTTTAATTACTCATCTTTTTTTTTCGTTTGCGTCTTTTGCAGGTGAGTGGCTGGGACGACGAGAGAGCGAAACACGACGCGTTCGTGAGGGACGATTCGATTACCGGCAAAAATGTAAGTGTGTCCCTTGACGGCGTCCCAGCAGCTCAGATACAAAGGTTGTGGCAGAGACTGAGTGTCCTTCACGCGACTCCCTAATCCCCCGCGGCACGCCGCTAGCCTCGCTGCAGGCCCGCCGGGGCTCAGCCAACAAGCGGCGCGGCTGCAGCTTGCGCGCCCATAAAAACGCTGTACAGTTCGCGGAAAACTTTCTCCGGACAGACTATAGCGCGGCGCGACGGCGGCGCGGCTCCTTACTGTGAGCAAACGCGGCAGCGGTACAGTGAGAGAGAGAGAGAGACAGACAG